CGGGAATGTTTGTGATGATGAAGACAGACAAGATGCTACCATTGGCCTTTATAATATACCCCAGGAGGTCAGTACAAATTTCATGAAATGCATTAAGTGTATTTGCTCACGGATGAGATCACCATTTATAATGCATTACCGGTAATGCATTCCGTCCAATGCATTTCATGTAATGCATTTAGTTCACGCCTGTTCCGGACTTCTCAGTGGGCCTGCAAGGTGTTGACTTGGATACCTCGGAATGGTTCAACTTGAACGTGGATCACCTTTACAATGAGTCTGATGCGCTCCTTCAATTTCAGGAGTTAGACCCTTCAGTTCTTGGCATGGACATAACCAATATGATTACCACGCTGTCAAACTTCACTGATCAAGATGGTGCCCCCTCCCCGCTTAATCATCCATTGTTCGAATACCCTACTACCGTTGCATCTGCTCCCGTACCTGTACAAGACCTTGACTACTACCAGCTCGCACAGTTTTTTCAAGATCTAAACCTCCCAAACAATGGAGCACTCGAGTTCACTGTTCCGCCTCCATTGCCACCTTCTGCAGCGCTCCATCATCAGTTACCTGATCCATCTACGGTTCCAGGTACGAGAGCAACTACCCCCTTACCACAATCCACAGCTCTCCAGATGCTATTGCCACGACTTCCAAGCATACCAGCTGAAGTTACCGCTGGAACTCCATCAAACACGTCTGTTCATCTCATTCCATTGACTACTGACTCGGAGCAACCAAGCGGTCCTCGCCGTACGGCGCGTCGTCACGTCCCATCAACACGTGAACAGGCACTCAATGCTATTGGGTCATCAAAGGCGCGTGTCTGTGCTGTGACGGGAGCTCAGGAGGGCAAAGAAAATGACGGAATCACTCTCTCATCTACAAAGCGCAAGGCCAAGCTCACCAATCAACACGTCAACAAGTAAGTTTTCTTGCAATGTTATAGTTGTCAAATAAAGACTTACGGCTCGTAGAAAACAGAAGTGCGGTTAGCACTTGTTTCAGGTCTATTATATCTGTACATATCCTACGATAGCATGTTTTTTGGTCGGCAGTCAAGATATCCCTTCAATTTCACTTGATAGTCACCAGTCGCTTTATATCTATCCCACCCCAGTGTGTCCGTTCATTCGAGTACCTTTCGACATCTCCCAGACTAGCTTGTGATTTTTTGGCTTACCAGACTTGAAGAATATCAGGCTTTTATACCGTCTGCAAGCTGCTCTCGAAGACATGCTATTGTGTCTGATGTATGAGTCTCGCTCGATGGTAAACAAGATTATTATTGACAATATGAACATCACACGAGTCTAAAGAGCCAGAGTAATAGTAGGAATAGCATACACAATGACATTGAAAGAAGTGTCGCAGAAAGTTCTATCGTGATATAATACATTAATCGGATGGAAGAGAATTTATGACTTACATGACTGGTACACATGGTGAGACTTTGCGTTCTAAGCAGTCTGGCGCACGCTTCGTGCCCATGGGTCCAACAGATGACATTGAGGTCGTGCGACTCCAGAACAGCGAAGATTGCCTGGTCAATGGTGCTGACCCGAAATCACTGTCTGGCTCTATCACTGGTTTGGATGGTACTAATGAATGAAAGTGGGGCGTGAACGATATATTCATTTGAGCAAACTCGACACCGCACCTTTATTGATCTCACGCATCTCCTCATTATGCAACACACAACTGGGTGAACACATGTGATCCACCCTGGGCGCTCGAGGGGTTATCTCCTGGGAACATTTTTCTGCGAGGATTTTTGCCAATGGTCGAGTTGGAGACTGGGAGTGGTCTGCAGAGTTGTAATGATCAATTAGATTCTCGAGTCTCGACGACGCGGGTTGCCAACGGCTTCTACTTATCTTGAAATCGTCCAAGTCACATGAGTCACAGGCCCTAGCAAGGAGAAGCTGAGCAAGGGTATATGTCCTGTGCGGGATGGCGGGCCAGTATGTGAGTAGCTGAGGGGACCAATTCTGCTGGCACGTAGTACAAAGGCATAGGGACATGGTGGGACGAAAACATCAATAATAAGCCTAGAGAAGCCAGCTATATAGTATTTGGCAACGAGGCTATTTGAAACTGCCGGCAGCAAGAAGCCAAATGTATTAGGATTCATTTTACTACACAATGCATTACATGATCTATCATCGAAAATGCATTATGGGTGTCTTGTAACTATCCTACGGTAATGCAATATAGTGACAGGGTAGCCTCCTTGTAACTATCCTATGGTAATGCAATATAGTGACAGGGTAGCCTCGAAGGGGCGAGGGTGGTCCACGGAGACAGCACGACGACAGAAATCGTGCTGCAGCTGTTGAAAACAGACAGGATAAAAGTCAGAGGAGGGATAATGGACAAGGAAAGAACTCACACCTTGCTAGAAAGCCTGATCGTTTGAGTCAGGCTGAGAAGGAGAGACACGCGGCAGAAGGACTCTGCTACGTGTGTCACCAGCCTGGGCACATATCCAGGAATTGCCCGGACAGGACCACTGTCAAAAGAGTTGGGGCTGGAACGGCACCCCCTGGAGTACAAAACTTCAGCATAGAGGTGGACCTTAGCGAGGCGGACCGAATGACCCACCAGAACGAGAACATGACCTCCAATGGGGCTATGGATGTGTCGTGCGCCGCGATGAGCGTCTGGCGCGACGACTTCGACGACGGGGACGAGGTAGACTGGGTCAGCAACTCGGACGACCCGGCAATACCTTTACCTCACGGACACCAGCCCACCATTTTGCATGATGGACCCGCTGGGAGGGAAGATTGGGCCTCCAGAGGCACAAAGATCGACGCCATGGGCGAACCTTTGGCCATGCGAGCCAAGTACGTGCTGGACGGGGGTTTCTACCTCTGGGATTGAGAGCCATGGCTGCCCATCAGCTCAGAGAGGTTCTTCGTTTACAGCGTGTCTGAACGGGAGCACGTCATCATGGATAGAGAGGATAGGAGGGAGAATGAAGTGACTGTACTCACCTCCCATTTACTGAACCCGAAGTTCAATCTGGCCGAATGGTATTCACAAAAGGTTAGCGAGCTCCGGGGACTAGACCCCCAGAAAGTGAGAAAATGGAGGCGGAAGGAACTGGGCACAAAAATGCCCATGGAGACGCCGTTAGCTGCTCGGGTAGAGCAGCTATTGGTACGATGGGGCTGTTACGATAACGACCCCATGCGCAACGCGCTGCACCCCCAACGATTCGAGTGCGTTAGAATGAGAGACGGGACGTACCGGATAAAGGACTATGTCCGATCGTTCGTGGTAGAGGTGCCGCTGCGCCTCTTGTTAAATCCTAAGTTCGTGTTAGCGTCCTGGTACAATAAGAGGTTAAGGGAGGCTCACGATGAACTTTGTGATAGCCTACTGCAGAACTCTCAAGAGCTCAACATGCTCCGGTTGTTGGACCAGGGGCCGCTGACCGAAAATGAATGTCAGCTGGACGATGTGGCAAGGAGGATATACACTCTCACCCCGGACGCCAAGTTCCTATACAATGAGTCGTACCTATTTGTGTTAGAGCTAAATGGACAGCAAATACCAGCTGGGACTTACCCGGCGTTACAGCGAGGGGCTGCAGTGACCAAAGACTTCAAGCGAATGATTCCAAAGCCGGTCGTCGTCGTCGTCAACATCAACGGACGACCGGCTCGTGCGCTAATTGATTCTGGGTCCCTATCAGATTTCATGTCAGTGACTCTGGCAGAACAATTGAAAGTACCAAAGGTAGAACTTACCAAGCCGTTGGTGGTGCAGCTTGCGGTCCAGGGATCCCGGTCTAAGGTCAACTACGGCACGAGAGTGAACATGAGGTATCAGAACATTAGCGAACAACGCTACTTTGACGTAATTAACTTACAGAATTACGATCTGGTACTAGGAACCCCGTTCCTGTTTCAGCACAAGGTCATGGTGGGGTTAAACCCACCACGAGTGACCATAGGGAGCGCATCACCGTTGCCTATGAAGGGCATTGAGGTGACTACGTTGGAATCGTGTGCGGCCACCGTGGAGGCAGAGGACCTAGAGAAAATGCGCGAATATTTGCGACAGTTAGCAAAACCATTGTGCGCAAAGGCAAGCGAAACAGGCTTACCTCCATTGAGGTCTATCAACCACACTATCCCGTTAATAGACGAGAATAAGATCTACCTGTGGCGACCTTCCAGGTGCCCGGAGCCGCTGAGGCCACAGTGGGCAGAGAAACGGCAATCCTACCTAGCCAGTGGACGATGGCAGGTAACCAGTGCCGGGAACACGGTGCCCATGCTATTCATACGAAAGCCAGGGTCAGATCGTTTGAGGACGGTCGTCGATCTAAGAGAGAGAAATAAAAACACTCACAAACTGACGTCACCATTGCCGGATATGGAGGGAATCTTGCGCCGGGTCGCGCGTAAACCTTATCGGTCCCTAATGGATGGTCAGGATGCGTACGAACAGATCCGCGTGATACCGGAACACGTACCTAGGACGGCGATGACGACGCCGGACGGCAACATGGTGAGCCAGGTGTTGCAGCAAGGCGACTGCAACGCGCCGGCTACGTATCAGGCTGTAATGAATCAGTTGTTTGGGGCGTACATCGGCAAATGGATGGACGTTTACCTGGATGATATAATACTCTACTCTGACACGCTGTCTGATCACATAGACCACATTAAGATCGTTTTGAACATATTGGAACGTGAGAAACTTTACCTTAGTGAAAAGAAACTGAAGTTCCTGTGTGACGAGGTGAAGATCCTTGGCCGGGTGGTCGACAGCGATGGGATCTGTATGGACCCGGAGAAGGTCAACCGAGTCCTCAACTGGAAGACCCCCACAAACCGGGACCAGTGCCGAGGATTCATCGGCTCCGTGGGGTACCTAGCGGACGACATTTATAAGGTCAGGATCCCGTTGGGAGTCTTGTCTGAAGTAACGGGAGATACAGTACCTTTTCGGTGGGACTTCGCGCAACAGCGCGCATTTGAGGAAGTCAAGCTGTATGTGGCCGCATGTGCGCCACACTGCCGTGTTCCGCTGGACTATGCCAAGAGCGCGCCTCCCATCTACGTCATGACAGACGCTAGCCTGGGAGGTATAGGCAGGGTTGTGTGCCAAGGGGAGGACTGGAAACACGCAAAGGTTGCAGCGTTCTTTTCCACGAAGCTGAATCCCGCACAGCGCAACTACGCTGTGCACGAGCAAGAAATGTTAGCCGGAGTAGAGACCATGCTGAGGCATAGGGACATACTGCAGGGAGCCAAGTTCACTTGGCTGACAGACCATAAGGGTTTGATTCATCTGTTGAATCAGAAGAACGTTAGTGGACGGCAAGCGCGATGGCTTGAGAAGATAGGTGAATTTGACTTCGACGTTAAGTACATACCGGGTGAGGAAAACCTCCTGCCCGACGCCCTATCACGTATGTACTCCTTTGATGGACCCAGAGCCGCGCCCAGCGAGTATACAGAACATGATGGGGACCAGGAGGGTGACGGGGGCACGACACGCCTAGCGTCGATACCCATGGTGGCGGGCGAACCGAGAATGGAGCCTTCTTTGAGGCGTAGCTCACGGGTTGCTGCAAAACCGGTGGTGGTGCCAGCCTGGCTGCCTAAAGGTCGCCGGGTCAGGCAACAATCAGTATTGTGCGAATCTACAGGGACAGCACCGGACGCACCTGACCAATCAGTATTGTGCGAATCTACCGAACCAGCACAGGGTACCTCTGCACCTTCAGTACCGTGCGAGTCTACCGCCCCACGGCCACTACGTGAGCGAAGGGCACGACGGTGTCTTGTTACTTAAGGGTCTTATATAAAAGTTGTGTATAATGACAACACAATTATACACAGGGAAGACTTCTTGCCAGTCCTTAAGTCCACGGTCTCCGACTTTTCTACTTCGTGGGAGGTAACGTGGTGAGTTCTTGGGAGGATTTAGTTTGTTGTCCTCTTCTTGTGTAGTCTGATACGAAGTGTTGTGGAATGTTCTGTGTTCTGGATAAATTCGTTAGGTTTGTTTCAGCCTAGTAGGTCGTGTTTCAACCTATGAAAGTCTGTTTCAACTTTGTCGTCCTTAGATATGTGTCTCACTTTCCGTTGAAAGAGAGAGTCTTATGTATACACGTAAAGCTTAGAATGAGAGCTGTTCAATGGTTATATAGTCAACCCCTGTAAGGTAGTATATAACCTAGAGTAGAATAACGATAACGAAAGTTATATAGTCAACCCCTGTAAGGTAGTATATAACTTTAGAATAGAATAATGATGTGTCTTAGTCTTACTTCAAGGCACGTTGCCTGCACTTTTATTCTTACGTACTCTCACACGGTTTGAGAGAAGAATGAAAAATGGGAAGTTATATTTCATGGGAGAAAATGGGGTCCTTTTATACCTTTTGGAATCCCCTTACTAAGCATGATTCTGTCAGATGGATTGGTAAGAATGTGGCTTACAAACCAGGTGATGAATCAGCTTTTACTAATATACATTATAAATACTGTGTAATCTTACAAAGAAATTACAAAGCATGACAGAAAGGTGCTGACTCTTCTCAGGGATTGGTCATGCAGAAGCTGACAAACCAAGCCTTTGGGTGAGCTGAATCATCCTTCTTACTAAGTACATTACAAACAAAGTTCAGTGTCTTACAAAGAACTTTCAAAGCATGATCAACCATGACTGAACATGTTGAGTCATGTTTAAATGTTGTTACAAAGCATGACCAATCATGACTAAACATGTTGAATCAGCTTTAATAATGTTACAAACCAGATTATTTCCCAGTCACATGATGTGATGACAAATAAAATCTGGTGGCTGAAAGAAGCCAAATAAAAGTAAACAGTCAGACATAAACAAAGAGATACAAAACTTTGACAAACAAATCTGTGGCTGAAAGAAGCCAAATAAAAATAAATAATGAGAAATAAACAGAAGGTCACATGCTCATAAAAATACAAGGTAAAATAAGTCTGAGAAATAAAATACAAGACAATGAAATAGAGGAAAAATAGAGAGGTAACTCAGTGACAGAGGGCTAGACAGTCTCTCATATCTTCCTTATCACTCTCTATATACATCTGACATGGTATGAATCACATACCATGCATGACAACGGGTGGAGGTCCCTGCGGAGAGTGGACGCCCTGAGACGTCCAAGGAGTTTGCCAGGAGGCTGCGGGATCGTTTCGTTCTGCTCGGGCCTGGTGAACGAAAGAAGGGCGGGGAGGAAGGTGACGCTCACCTCCCTGCAGAGCAGACACAGACGCAGCAGCCAGAATCGGACCACGGCGAGGAACGGTTCACCCCAATGGCGCAGCTGCCACGAAGGGAACTGGAGGATGAGACTCTAGCGGAAATCAGAGGTCAATATTACAAAGACCCATTCTTTCAGAAAGTAATGAACTCACCTAAACAATTCCGCAACTTTGAGGTTGCGGAAGGACTCATCCATATTCGACTGAACGATAGGACGCTGATGTGTATACCGGACGTAAAGGTCGACGGTAGAAGGCTGCAGGAGAACCTAATCAGTCAAGCGCACACTCTGTTGGCCCACCTGGGCGCACAAAAGACACTCACATACTTAAGAGACCGTGTCTGGTGGAAAACGATCGTGCGAGACGTGCACGCGTTCTGCGAATCCTGTGCGACATGCCAAACGAGTAAGTCCAGCAACCAGCGGCCATATGGACTGCTGAGACCCTTACCTGTACCCTCCCAACCCTGGGAGGCAATGGGCATTGATTTCCTGGGGCCGCTACCCTTGTCAAAGGACAGGGACGGCGAATACGATTCGATAACTGTCATTATCGACCTCTTTAGTGGCATGGTTCATCTAGTACCTAGTAGAACCACTTACACGGCTAAAGAAGTGGCCGAGTTAGTCTTCACCGAGGTGTATAAACACCACGGCGTACCGAAGTACATAGTCAGCGATAGGGACGTGCTTTTCACAAGCGCATTCTGGACCAATTTCAATAAGTTAATCGGCGCCAAGCTGAAAATGTCGAGTGCTTACCACCCGGAGACAGACAGATCCACTGAACGCGCCAATAGGACCGTGGTCCAAATGTTGAGGGCGTGTATAGCCCCGAATCAGCGAGACTGGGTGCCTAGACTGCCGGCGATTGAATTCGCTATCAATATCGCGAGCTCAGAATCAACGAAACACTCACCGTTTGAGACAAACACTGGAAGAACACCTAGGGCAATGGTGTGGGACGACCCATCGGAATCTGAGTATCCGGGAGTAAGAACCTACCTGCAAAAGATTAAGCGCACCATTATGGAAGCTCACGATAGCATCATTAGCGCAAGAGTAAAGCAAACGGTGGATGCCAATAAGAAACGGCGCCCAAGCCCGTTTGCACATGGGGACTTGGTGTACATATCCACCAAGAACTTAAACTTTCCTAAGGGGTTAGCACGCAAGCTGCTACCAAAGTACGTCGGACCTTACCGAATAATCGAGGACTTCAGGAACAATTCCTATCGTATTGAGCTACCTGCCAGGTTGAAGCAGAGGGGAATACATAACGTGTTCCACGTGTCTTACCTAAGGTTGCACGTACCGAACGATGATCGAAGGTTCCCAGGACGCCTGGACAACCAGGTCGCTGAGTTTGAAACTCAGGAATGAGAATGGGCCGTCGACCGGATTCTATCGCATAAGGGAAGCCGAGCTGACGCAATGTTCGAGGTTCAATGGAAGGCGGGAGACGTCACGTGGTTACCCTTCGATCAGGTTGACCACCTTGGCGCCCTCCGTGACTACCTCGACGTCCTGGGCATCGATGACATCTCCGGCCTAACGGATGGCAACGAGGTCTCAGTGAGTACCGATGTCTCAAACATTGACTCACATGTGTTTTTAGGCGCAATGGGCTTGGGCTGGCCTGACCATATAAGCCGGCCCCACAACCCTTCTCCCCCATCGACTTCTACCTCACCAGCCACTTCATCAACGAAAACCATGTCCTCTAACCCGCTTCCAACTCCCCTGTTCCGTGCCCAGAACGGGGTATTCATCATGGCGGATCGTTACCGCCCCGGCGTCTCGTTGGCTATCACCCTTGACCAGCTGCGTCTGTACTTGCAGTACGATGCCGACCTGCGTAGTGGGACCGCCCCCAACACCATCATCACACCCATCGGCTATGACGACTTCGCCGTTGCATTAAATTCGAATGCTGGGGCGGGCGTGCAAGTTGCCATTGTGCAAGAAGGGGACGAGGGAGTCCGCATTACCGGACGTCCCCCAACCTTGGCTGAACTCGTTGGGCTGGAAGCCACCTGACGAGCAGCACCCACCCCTCGTGACCCTCGGGAAGACGCTGGAGGCCAATGGTTGGACTCGCGTCGCTCTGAGCTCCTGGACCACGCACTGTGGGACAACTTGGAGCGGAACAAGAAGCAGCGCATTTGGCGCAACAAAAGCGTGGCCAAACGCCAGGCCAAACGGAGGCGAAGGGAGGATGATGAGGCGATGCGCCCTTTCGCACCCTCCACCTCCTTAACCAACGCCCTCGCTGGGCCCTCCGGCCTGAATAACCCCATCACTCCATCCATTCCTCCTCCCCCTCCTATTACACCGGTTCCTGACCTTCCTGCACCTCCTGTCGATGGCGAGGACGAGGAGATGGACGATGACAGAGCGGAAGAGCGCGCTCAGGGCAAAGGCAAGGGGAAAGGACTCGGTCGTATCCCGAAGAAATGAGATGTCGCTGGACGACATCTGGTGGGGGGTATGTGACGCCCACGTCAGGACTTGACTCTATCGGGCCTTCGGACTTGGTCAAGGGCCTGGACGGGTCTGTCCCTCGTTATCTGAAACCAAGTATCTATCACATGCCTGTTACGAATAATCACAAGCTCCTACTTACAGATAGTATAAAGGGTCGTCGTATAGCTATCTGTAACGTTGGCGTTCTTGAATTGACTTGACTTGTATCTGGTTATTCTTGCGCGTCTTAGTAATCTGTGGCGTTTATGAAACGTTCACACTAGAGAGTCGATAGGTTTGAATCGTCTTAAGGTTCGAACAGGGTAACTGTCCTAACTAAGTGTTATTCAAGGGGGGGTGAAAATCAACTACCCTACAAGTAGATACGCGATGGCTTATATACTGAAGGGTAAGAAAGTCAGGGACTAAAGGAGAAAGAAACTAAATGAGTAACTAGAGAGAATGATAAAGCTAATATTTGGTTGCCATCGTCGACATATCGTCGACGGCTTTTGACGAGTGTTACATACGCCCTCCAGGTCCTCTAAACGAGAGGACCTTTCTTCAGGTGATGCGAGTTCCTTAGGTTCGCGGGGAAGATCCCAAGGAGGCGAACGCAGCTATGAGAAGTATTAGGATGAGCACATTGACTAACAATGAGCAAACAGGAATGATTCTACCGAGGACATCTTCGGTAGTGACCCCAGGCATATGACCAGCCTGCTCGAGGTCGAGCTGCTCAGCAGCTGCGATTATGTCCTCGACGTCGCGTCCAGGGTCGACCGCAGGAGGCTTGGGGGCAGGAGTTGGGGCGAGGATAATGGATGCGTTGCTGGTCACGTCAGCGATCAGCTGAGCAGCCGGGGTGAGAGCAGAACGGTTGCTCGGTACGGAGCTAGCGCGTGATACGCGGTGACGAGGTGGAGAATGCGCGCGACGTACTCGACGAGGGGGTTCCTCAGGAGGCGAGCGAGCACGAGGACCACGACGGTGGTCCAACGAGAGGTTACGAGTACGAGGGGAATACCTCTCGTAGGCGCGTTGGGCGCGCTCGGCGCGCACAAGCTCATCAAAGGCGTGCGACTCCTTTCTAGTGGCCAATTCCTCTAGAGGATGGCGGCGAAGGTCAGCGAGATGGTCCAGATTAACTCCGAACGGGCGCTTACTGGCCTGTGCCTCAGCACGGAAGAAACGCGTGAACGCGCCGAGGGCGTCAGAGTCATGCTCGCGCTGTTGGGGAGGGCGGACGCGCCCTCCTCTCCCTCTATGATAACGTCCAGGATGTCCTCGACCAGACCGAGTTGGTCTGGGAGCATCAGCATAGTTGCCGGGCCCTATCCCGTCGAACGGTGCGTCAACGAGCATGTCATTGTTAGGCAACTGCACGGGTATGGGTAACCCGCACGGGTCGCGGGTAAGGGTACACCTGGGGTATGGGTGGGGGTTACCTTTCACGGCACCCGTACCCTTACCCATACCCATGCGCGGGTTAGACCATCCAAACACGATATATTGCTACGTAATTGACAACTCTGTACTAGTACCTATGCCAAAACAAAACCTTAAAGAAGCCACAACTGTCAAAAAATCTCCCATCCCATCGTCCTAAGCAAACCTGTCCCAGACTCATACCTCGCATCCAACCATGCAACCAAATATATTCACCGCAGCTGCAAAACGGGTCACGAAGCTGACGGATAAGGCCAAAGCGGCACTTGAAGAGAGACTTGAAGCTACTGGCCCGTCAAGGAAGCGAAAGATTGATGCGAAGGGCGCAAGTGCGGTCTCCAACAGCTCGAAGAAGGCAAAACAAAACCTTCCCACCGATACATCCAAAGATAGACTGGTTGTCGGTGCATCCAAAGATAGGCCAGTCGCTGAGGCCTCTCCATCTCCACCTGATGTGGGAACAGCGGCAGAGCCTCGTAAAATTTGCCGTGCCATTGTTCGCACCGAGGAAGAGGAAGAAGCATTGTATGACAATGCCATTATCATTGACGATGAGAGCGAAAAAAGCGGAAGCGAGGCTGGTAATGAGGCTTCAAGTCCAGAGAGTGCGGAGGACGAGCGAAGTATGTTCCTGCTATAAAAATATAGCACCACTAATTAGCAACAGAGAGGCTCATGAAAGAATGGGTATCACCTGTTTACGCATTCTTTGACCCAACACCCCGCATCACTGAAGTTGGTGGTCGACGTGCACACGAATTCAAATGCCGTGCAAAGGGGTGTAAGGCCACAATCCGACGGTTCTTGGACAAAAAGGATGCCCGATCGACAGGGAACATGCGCAAACATGTCAAATCTTGTTGGGGGGAAGATACGCTCAATGCTGCTGACAGCGCCAAAGATGCGAATGAAGTGCGAACAAAAATCGTCGGAGGTATCCTAAAGAATGGGTCAATCATGGCATCCTTCGAACGTAAGGGAAAGGGAAAAGTAACTTACTCGCACCATCAACACACGCATGGAGAAACAAGGTGAGGTCTTGATGTTGTCGTTGACACCTAAACCTAAAGTGTCTTCTTCCAGGGCAGAAATAGTGCGTTGGGTATCAGAGAGTCTGCGTCCGTTCGAGATAGTCAAGGATCGAGGATTTCAGTTGTTGATGAAGACTGGAAGGCCAGAGTATTACATACCTTCGCCATCCACAATTTCGCGTGATGTTCGACTTGTGTTCGCTCGGACTCGTCAACGAGTTGCTAAAATGTTACAAGTTAGTTCAAATCATGCACTTTGAATTATTCACATAAAAAAACCTCACCAGGAATATGATGGCAAGATAAATTTTACAACGGATGCTTGGAGTTCACCAAACCATCGAGCGTTCGTTGCGTTCTCGGTGCACCTCGAGCACAATGGCATACCGCTAAGCCTACCATTAGATATCATTGAAGTAGCTAAGGTGAGAAACTTACCTTGATAGATCCACAGCGGCTAATACTATGTTAGTCACACACAGGCGAAGAGCTGGCAAATGTGTTTGCGAAGATGCTAGAGGAATTTGGCATTTCAGACAAGGTAAATTTCAAAAGAGACATGATGACTTACAAATTGATATTGTGCGGGCCAGATTTTGAGTGTGACATGCGATAACGCCTCCAACAACAATGTCATGGTTGAGAACCTTGCGGCTGAGGTACCAGCATTTGGGGGGGCCGCAAGCCATACACGGTGTTTTCTTCATACGGTAAACCTCGTAGCAAAATCGCTCATTCGCGAGTTTGATGTAACCAAGAAAGAGGCCCACAAAGCCTTGGATAAGCCTGAGAATAGTGATGACAGAACAGAGCTCGAGGTATTGAGCGAGGGGATTGATGGGGAGGATGCAGTGATGATCGCTGAATATGGTGTTGGGGATGATGACGGTAGGGACAATGATGACGGTTGGGTTGATGAAGTTGAAGAGCTCGATCCTGATGAGCGACTCACGCTGGAAAAGAGTATTCTTCCTGTGAAGTTAGCCCTTGTGAAGGTAAGAACAAAAAAAACCAACACGCACCTTCAAGTCTAATATCTCTTCCAGCTCCGTAGACTCGCATACAAAGTTATACATTCGACGACTATAGTCCTCCCAGCGTGGCATAAGATTCTTGAAGACTTGCAGGCGCCCATTACTCTCATGCCACGCGATGTTTCGACCCGCTGGAACTCCACATTCGATATGTTGGATTATGCGATTGAGCATCGGGAGGCTGTTGATATTGTGACTCAACGTCGAGATCTCGGTCTGCGGAAGTTTGAGCTGAATGATGAGGAGTGGGCAATTGCCGAACAGCTGAGGGGTGTTCTCAAGGTAAGTACCGGATACATCCGAACGACACATTCACTAATTTTGGTCTATGTAGATTCTAAAGGACGCAACACTATTTTTCTCCCGCTCGACACCCAATCTAGCCACCGTGATTCCGGCCATGGATCTCATTGACAAAACGCTCACTACGTACTCCCGCAACAGACAGTATCACTCTTCAATCCGCTCAGCTGTTCAGCTGGCAAAGGCAACACTTAACCGGTACTATCAACTTACAGATCAATCCGAAGTCTATCGCATTGCCATGGGTTTGTTCTTTTTTGTCTCTGTTCTGACGGCTCACATTCATACATATATAGTATTACACCCACGTCACAAGCTCGTATACTTCAGAAACGCTCGATGGGAGGACGACTGGGTCACCACAGCCGAAGAGCTTGTCCGTGACCGATTTACTCTCTATTCAGCCTTGGATGCCAACCTTCAAGACAACGACTTGGACATGGAGACTTTAGAGGAGGAATCACATAAGGTACGTCTTTTTTTAACTGCGACTACTGACTACTGATTCTATTCTAGATGAAAAACATATTTGATGACATGCCCGCCCTTGCTCCGCCAAAATCGACTGATCTCCGTGATGAGCTCGAGCGCTATCTCACCTCTGACATTGAAAATGTTCGTGATGCACTTTCATGGTGGCACGAACGTCGTACCACCTACCCTCATCTATCGCGGATGGCATTGGACTACCTCACCATTCCTGGTGAGTTTTTTTTTAAATTGAACTCGCATATACTACAGCTAATAACGTCAACAGCCACATCAGTCGACGTTGAACGACTATTCAGCCGAGGACGGCTCTTGCTCTCACACGTTCGCTCACGCTTATCTGCACAATCGACACGCGCACTGCTGTGCCTCAGTTTTTGGAGCAAACTTAACCTGGTCAAGACCGACGATGTTCTCAACGTCAGTTCTTTGCCTGACGTCGAAGGTGATGAAGAGGAGCTCGAGAATGGGTGGGATGATATTATCATTGAGTAGCTATTGTACACTGTGTCGTAAATTTACCATATAGTATCTATGACCCGCGGGTACACCCTTGATGGGTTGTACCCCGGGTCCTTACTTCGCTATCCACTGCGCAACCCGTACCCTTGCTGCGGGTGTGGGTTTACCTCGGGGTGCGGGTGCGGGTTGACCTGCCGACACCCGGGGGTACACCCGTGCGGATCCCTAGTCATTGTTGCATGCTGAGAGAGCGTTGGAGGACATGGAGGAATAATGGTGAGGGGGTGTATGGCTCTGGAGGTCCTGTCGGCCTGTTAAATAGGCATCTTGCAGTCCGCTTAAGCGAGAGGCGGAGGCAAAATCGTCGACCATCCGGTCAACGATTCCGAAAACAGACTGCCGGGCCGCAGAAAATTGATCTATGGTGCTAACGGGGATAGTTGCTGATGGTGCGCTAATTTTCTTTGGCAGGTGTGCGATCCCGGGGACGCCTAGGGCCTCAAGATACTGGGATAGGGCCTCTAGGCGAGAGACTTGGTGGTAAGGGAACCAGACCCTGTCTCCGGTGGAGTATTCGACCTCGAATAGAGCGTCTGGTCCGATGCCTTGGTGGTCAGTGACCTTGGTCACTGACCATTCCTCCAGGTGTCCAATGTCGGACACCTGGTCGAGCTGTCGCCCAGGGAATCGCCTATCATCATTCGGCACGTGGAGACGTAGGAGGTGCGCGTGGAAGGATGGGTGGAGGCCACGTTGTTTTAGCTGAGCAGGGAGGTCCAGTAAGAACGCATTGTTCTTGTAGTCCTCCAGTATTCGGTACGGACCAATATATTTGGGTGCTAGCTTGCGTGCACGACCCTTAGGTAGCGATAAGTTCTCAGTCGACAGGTACACTAGATCTCCCTTGACGAAGGGAGACTCGGTACGACGACGGTTAGCGTTAGTGGTGCTCTTCACGCGAGCTGCTATGATAGAGTCGTGGGCATCCATTATTGCGTCCTTCATCTTCTGCGCGAAGACTCGTACGCCAGGGAATTCTGAGTTGGTGTTCCATATCAGCGGTGGAGGTAGTCTACCGTAGTTTAGAACGAACGGAGGGTACTTCGTGGTTTCGGAACATGCTGAATTAATCGCAAATTCGATTGCGGGGAGCTTGATGGCCCAATCCCGTTGGTTGGGTGAAACGACCTGTCGAAGCATTTGCGTTATGGTGCGGTTCGCACGTTCGGTGGCTCCATCTGATTGGGGGTGAAACGATGTAGACATTCTCAGTTCAACGCCCGTGAGTTGGTGAAAACGCTGCCAGAACGTGCTAGTGAATAGCGTGTCTCGGTCACTGACAATATTAGAGGGCATACCGTGGTGCTTGTACACCAGATTGAACATGACCTCGGCAATGTCTTTCGCGCGGTAAGTCTGCTTCGTTGGGGCTAGATGTACCATAGACGTTAGGTGGTCAATGGCTACTAGTACCATGTCAAACACGCCTTGCAAGGTTTTGGACTCAGGGAGCGGTCCAACGAAGTCAATTCCCACTGTCTGCTAGGGGCGCGTTGGGACTTCGAGGGTTTCTAGCAATCCGTACGGTTGGTGATTCGACGGTTTGGACACTTGACACGTTGGACACGACTCACAGAAGGCTTGGACGTCCGTAGTGATACCCTTCCACCATACATTTTTGCGGAGGTATAGTAAGGTCTTGGATGGGCCTAGA